GCCACGCTTCTCCTGATGCAGCCCAGAGTACAGTTGGCCTTCTGGGCTGCCAGTGCACATTGCCAGCTCATGTCCAGCTTTTCATCCACCGGCACCCCGAAGTCCCTCTCAGTGGGGCTGCTCTCCATCCTTTCTTCCCCCAACCTGTATTGATACCAGGGGTTGCCCCGACCCAGGTGCATGACCTTGCACTTGGCCTTTTGAACCTCATGAGGTTCACACAGGCCCACCTCTCCAGCCTATCCAGGTCTCTCTGGATGACATCCCGTCCTTCTGGCGTGTCAACCGCACCACTCAGCTTGGTGTCATCTGCAAACTTGCTGAGACAGCGAGATCGAGTGTACCCTATGTCATTGATGAATACGTTAAACAGCACCGGCCGCAGTACAGACCCCTGAGGGACACTGCTCTCATAACACGACACACTGCAGGCACTCCCTACCTGTGCTGCCCCTGGTAACGAAGACATTTTTTCAGGTGTGAAATAGAATACAACAATAAACTGGTTTACTATCCCCTAAACACCTGCACAACCAATAATGACTCAATCACACAATTAAGTGTTCCAGTAATGCTTCTGAAATTAAATGTTAAAGGAAGGAGGGTCCTAACTTAGAAACTTACGGTGTGATGATGACTCTGATGCAGACAAATCATTCAGACAGATGTTTCCAGACCGTGGCACCTGCTGGAGTTCTACCCCTCTCTCTGGACGTCCAGCCTTTAAATCACACAGCCTCTCTGTGGGAAATGGGGAGAAGGATTCTTTGTAAATTAAAAGTGTTTAAATTTCTAGTGAATTTTTTTCTAGCTTGAGGTGAAACAGTTTTTCTCCAGGAAGCAAAACTGGAACAATCACTCACTCCAGCTAATGGCAAGTACAATTTGCTCAGAATTAGAAGTCAATGTTTCTAGTCTACGGGTCAAAGCTATGCCTCACTGTGTTTCATTTTAAGAAATTACAGCTCCACATGTGCTGTTTCGTCCTATATAATTAATCTTCTGACAAATGGGCCACTCAGATCATGTGGAATACAGCTACTCGTACTTGCAGTTCTAGGAGGAGACACCCATTTTAATAATTTGCAGTTGCAAATTACTCCATATTAAAAACATTAGGCAAATAAGGGCAAAGTCTGAAAAAGTTCGCCCAAAGCAATATTAATCACCTAATTTTAATACTAATCACTAATCTTGTGCGAGCTTTGCAGAGACAGGGGAATAGGAGAAATATCTGCAAAAACACACAAATGCAGCATTTGAGAAGGATGTACTGGCCAATTCTGGAAGCGCATAAATCTTTTTTTCCTGCGAACACCCACTTGGCAAAGTCACTTGTTGGCAGTGAGTCTGCTGTTCTTTACATTATTTGACAGAGGATTTCTAAGGGACGTGATTTTATGATCGGCTTAAGCTGATCTAAACCTGTGCTCCTACCAAAAATGCCATTTATATTGCTGCATCTGAGAGAAAGGGATCTCAGTTTGATACCTAAGTCTGGCCTGATATATTGGTTTCATGAAAGAATACTGTCAAAAAGCGCTTACGGAAAGGAGTTAAGCTTAATTTTATCCCCAATAGTGGACACTTGGGTTTGTATTCAGTTGCTGAATGCTTCATGCCAACATCCACACAGGAGAACTGCATTATCTATATGCTCACCAAAATAGCCATCTTCTCTTTGCAGCTTTTCAGCCAATTCTAATGCGTCATTCATTTTGTCTTCTAAAAACTGCTTCCTGTGCTCATCTGCAGCAGCAGCAGCCTTCTGCTCTTCTTCCAGTTGAGCTTTTTTCTGTATAACTTCTTCCCGCTGTGCAATAGAGATATTAAATGTGTCCTCAACAGATGTGTCGTGAGTAAAAAGCAATTATTAAAATCATCTGGATTATTACAGGCTAAACTTCACCCTTAAATCAAAATATGTTATTAAGGTCAGTGAATGTTTCTTTTTCAAAAAGTTCTCATTCAGACACCTGGAGAAATGTAAAAATCTTGGGTCAGAGGGGGGGGGAAAAAAAAAAAAAAAAGGAATTTACAGAATTAGGAATATGCTTTCCTAAGCCTAAATTATCCTTACCAATTTGCTCTAGTGTTTCCAGAAACTTCCAGTCAAGACACGGAAGGAGATTCCTAACAATATATTTCTTCAATACCTTTCAGTTTTATGCTCTACCATGTTATGGGCAAGAGACAGTTACATTTGTGCCAGTCCCACTTCAAAAAAGAAATAATGCAAATACCTTTTTTTCTTCTGCTTCCCTCACGGCCTTCAGCAGTTCTGCTTCTTTCACCCTGTTGTCCTGGAGGAGCTTGGCTATCTCTTCATAACGCTTCTCGCGGTCCTGATCATCGCGCCTTAGTTTATGCAATGCTTGCAACCTCCAGTCAGTGTCAATGCGTTTCTGCTCTGCTTTGGCTAAATGTTCTTCAGCCACCTAATAAAACATCTTTCTTACCAGGAGTACGATTACCCTATTTCAAGTACACAGCCTTATGTACAGATAAGATGAACTGAAGTGTTCTCCACTACCACTGTCAGATGTCCCAGCTGGGAGCCTGTACCTGCAGCGCCACTCCCCCATCCATTACAGCAAGCTGGCTCATTCATCAGGGCTTTCTTCTGCTGCTTCTTCATCCTTCTCATTCTTTCCCTTACTGAGGGTCTTTTCTTGTTTGGTTTGGGTTTTTTTTAATCTTTTGGAAAGATGCATCAACCCTCCCCATGATTTTGGGGATTTTGCTTTCCTAGCAGGGATTTATTATGATTTACAGGTGCAACTAACATAAGATTGCTACCTGGATGCCAATACTTCCACCCACATCCATCTGCTTCCAAAAACTGAAGGCTGTTTACAAAAATTCAGACCCATATGTTTATTTCTAGACAAAATATAAATGCAGATGCCAAGCATATGGGCAGTGGGTTAGCTGCAACTATTTTTCCAACTGTGCAGTTACAAGTTCTGAGCTTGAAAATCTGAACAATTCCTAATGTCAAGCTACACACATTCATTACCATGATCAAGAAGACAGCTTCTATAGCTGAATTCCCTGCCAAGCACTACCAACTGAAAGTCCCTTTGAGGCTTACTTTTGTTTTATTATGGTTGCAAATAACACGTGTTCCTTAACAGGAGGATGTCTTGTTCTGAAAAGCACTTTTGAGTCTTATATGCCTCCTAAGTTCTGAGAAGCAAAGCAAAGTTAGTATTCACGGCAGGCCCAGAGAACTGCAGTATTGTTTGGACACTTCAGTCAGATTTTTGAAAACCTCAAAACTTTAAACATACTGTCATAATCTATTACTATAGGTATCTAGAAATTAGATTTCCTTAGAAAATATTTTTGTATTAACTTGAACTAGTTAATTGCAATTGAAATACTATTAACTAGTACTACTTGTACTAGTTAGCATACTAACTCCCAAAATACATGTTAAGACCCAATCATCTTACTATCTGGGCTTTCTGGTTTTCTTCTCTATCTATTTCCATCAATCGCTGAACAAGGTGATCTTCCAGATCCACCCTTCTTCGATGGGCATCGACCTCTTCTTCCATTTCCTTTGTAACTGCCTCTTGATCTTTGATTAGATGCTGCCAAACACACAAACATAAATTATTGTTGCTAAGCTACTAATCCACATTTGTAATTCTGCCTCTTTCACATTTATTAGAATTTAATTACACTAGTATTTGAATATATCCACACATCTCAAAGCACTACATATCATAACTGTCCAAGAAAGTGATAGTCCCTGCTGTTTAATCCGCTTGGAATTACACTAAGCCCGAGTCCTCACAGTGGTCTCGCAGGTGATATAATTCCATTCCCTGGATTACAGTGGGGCATAAAAGCAGAATTCCAACTTAAATGAATTAGACTCACCATGAAAATATTCTACACTTTTATGGCACATTTTAGCCAAAACCTCAAAATGTTTCACAAATATAAATCATGTTTCGTGGTACGGGGACTTATAATAAACACTGCAGAGCTTGAATACAGAGATGATTTGCCAAAGTAGTATGAATCAGCAGTAGATCTAGAAATAGAATTTTAACTCTCACCACCTTTTCTTCACATTCATCGGGGCACATCTACAGAGTTTTCTGGAAAAGATGTGACCCCTTCCCAGGCCTGCAGGAATCTATTGAGCTGTGTCAGCAGGGTCCTGAAGCAAAGTTAACACACACAGCCTTCTAAGCTTGAGTATAGCCCCTCACCAACGGCAGTAAAACAGTCAGTTCAGGGCACAGGCAGGGAAAGCCTGTCTACACAGACTGTTGTGGGCAGACATACATCCTCAGTTAGTTAAGTAATTGCTACCTCTCTAGCCTAAAGAGGCTGATCCCTGTAGAAATAGTTCCCTTAAACAGCTGACTTTACATGTACTGGAACACAAATGAGCTTAGCCTGGTTTAGGTTACGTAGCCACAACACAGCTGGCTGTGTCTTTAATAAATAAATGCTAAAAGAAACTTAGCCCAGTTACGCTCAGCATGGGTTATAAAAAGTTTATGTCCAAAAGCTTTAAAAAGCCAAATATAAGTGGACAACATACTTCAAAATAAGGATTAGCTATCTGGATCTCCACTTCTGCCTGCATTCCATCAGATCTGCAGGTATGCAAGACTGGCACATGTAGCTGGGATTTTTAAATACTTCACTTACTATTTCTAATCAAAACGGACATTACTAAAAGTCTTCCACTGGCAGCCTTACTTTTCAGTCATTATTTATAATCAACTTATATTTAACTTTAAACAGTAGTATTGATTAAGCCCCTTTATTACTGAAGAGTGATCTTTCTGAATTGTAAGTCAGTCATTTGAGAAAGGAACTGCACATTCCCCATGAACCACCCATTCCTTTTTGCTTAATGATGTTGTTGGCAATTAGATATTTTTTCATCAACTACATCAATCTGCTATACTGTCCTCTCCAGAAAATGTAGATATATCTGGATACCACAGATGAAAAGGTGGGAGTTTCTGGGATGAGGAACATATTGTTATAGACTTATTTCTTATTTACACGTTTCTCGCTTCTCTCAACCAGCCAAGCACACAGATAAACCCTGCAGCAATCAAATGATACCTCTGCACAGGAGAAGAATAAAATGGGGAGGATATGGGTATTTTCTCCCAGAAAAACAGGTAACAGTGAGTTCTACTAATGCTTTTATTAAAAGTTTATTCTAAAAAAGGTATCAGAGAGGAAAAGGGTAAAAAAAAAAAAAAAAAAAAAAGCCCGCTTTTTCTTCACAAAGTCTGCTTGAATGAACACAACTGAATCTGAGAACTGCAAAGGAAGAACCACTAAATATAAACATCTGTATAGAATCCCTAAGAACTACCTGTTCAAAAAGCTGTCTTTGTGATTCAAGTTCCATCCTTCGTACTTCTACATCTTGAACAATAGCAGCTGTTTCCTGCTCTCTCATGGATGCCTTGAGGAGAAGAGAAACACGTGAAATACAGCAAAGGAGAAATTCTTCCCCCTTAAAAAAACAGTATCAAGAAAAATGTCCAAAACCCCAAGGCACACCCTACTTCTAAATTCTAGTTAACTTTCCATCAGAACATGAATAATGGAAAATACTGCATATCGAAAGTACAGGGCAAGGTGGAAAAGAGGCACAGGAATAGTTTTGCATCCAGCCAAGCATATTAGGGAAATGTCAGGCTTGATCTAGTGCTAATCATCTGCCAGATGCAGCTCCAAATTGAACGAGACTCCGAACCCAGAACACTGAGGAGGACTGCACACAGACAGGGCAGCGGCCACTTTGCACCTGGCAGAACCTGTGCTGAGCTGGAGCTAACAAATCTTACAGTGCCCTGACTGTGGAAACACACACACAGCTGCACTGTGCTCTGCAAAGCGCGATGCTGAGACACAAGGAATGGCCCTGCAGAGACACAATTCATGCCCATGAGGTTCAAAAGCTTCCACTCTCAGCATCTGCATGCCATGGTGCTCGAGCTAGTAACATGGGACAGAGCCAGGCCTGGCCAGAGGCTGCTGCAGAGCCTCTCAATCAATGGCAGACTTAATTTGCAATCTGGACATACAGCCCACAGACAGCTGAGAATTCACTAGTCCTTTAAGGAGCTCATCACATTTTTCAACACTGCTGATATACAGATGAATCTGGCTTTTCTCAGGAATTTTGCCAGTTAAAACAAGCCAGTAGAACATAGTAAGTGCCAAATAAAACTGTTAAATTATGCATTTACCTTCTCATGCTAAATACACCTCTGGGCTCACAAATCACAGCATATCAACTGAAATTTTAGTTATGTGTTTTTTCCTTGTTTATTTTCACTCACAAACCTTCAAGAAAAGAATTGCTTAAGCAATACTCAGCCTTTCTTGCAATTTCATCATCAAGACGTTTCAGTTCCATTTGACGCTGATCCTGCTGGTACTTCAGAAAACGCCTTCTCGAAGCATCTAGAAATTGTAGTTCCTTTACTTTCAGTTCTCTTTTCACAGCAGCTAGTCTTCAAAGCCACAATGAACAGAAACAAGGGGATTTATATATATGAAAGGTCAGTAACAAAGAGCACAAACTTGCACTGCAGTTATACATTAGTTACTGTGAGCTAATCTCTAACTTAAAAAGCTCAGGACAAGTTGCTTTCTTTCTTTCAAATTGTCCAGTTTTCATTTGCAAGACAAAATTAAAGTCACAGACACACAGATATCCTCTAATAGCAACGTCCCCAAATAAGCTTTCAAGTCCTGTGCCCTATTTCTGTTCTACTTCAATAAGCACTAGTTTACTATTGCAATAATCCAGAACTGGAAACTATTCCTTAGAATAATTGCCAGTGTCCTGGTACCTATTTCTGCACAAAATTAGTCCTAAATTTATTTGGAAAATACCAAACTCTTTCACAGAATCACAGAATGGCAAGGGTTGGAAGGGACCTCAGGAGATCATCCAGTCCACCCCTCCCTGCTAAAGCAGGGTCACCTAGAGCAGGTTACACAGGACTTCATACAGGCGGGCTTTGAATATCTCCAGAGAAGGAGACTCCACAACCCCCCTAGGCAGCCTGTTCCAGTGCTCTGTCACCCTCAAAGTAAAGAAGTTCTTCCTCATATTCAACTGAAACCTCTTATGTTTCAGTTTGTGCCCATTGCCCCTTGTCCTGTCACTGAGCACCACTGAGAAGAGTCTGGCTCTGTCCTCGTGACACCCACCCTTAAGATATTTGTATGTGTTGATGAGGTCCCCCCTCAGTGTTCTCTTCTTCAGGCTGAACAAGCCCAACTCTCTCAGCCTTTCCTCATAGGGGAGATGCTCCAGTCCCTTTATCATGCTAGTTGCTCTCCTCTGGGCTCTTTCTAGGAGTTCCTCATCTTTCTTGAACTGGGGAGCCCAGAACTGGACACAATACTCCAGGTGGGGTCTCACCAGGGCAGAGTAGAGGGGGAGGATAACGTTTCAAGGAACAAAATCACAAACTCAAGAATTAGTTTGCAAAGAAAGGCTCACTGCCCTCTAAAAAAAACCCCAAACCCCACCTTACTCTGTAGGTTACAGAGGTTTAAGAGAAGCACCTGGAGATGTGGTGCTTAGGGACATGGCCTAGTGATGGATCTGGGAGCGTTAGGTTAACGGTTGGACTCGACAATCTTAAGGGTCTTTTCCAACCTAAATGATTCTATGATTACTTGTAGTTGATCTAAAAAATCATGGAGATGTTGAAACTCTCTTAAACCTTCACAACTGCAAAATGTACAAACTAAGAGTTCAGCTTCAGTACTATCATAACCCTTTGCTCAGCAACTGACATATAAAGCAGTCTTTTTTTCTAAATCCACAAGAAATACAAGAATGTGTACAGTCACTGATACTGTAAGTGGCTCTTATATTTGTGGCGTGAGTCTGCCCACAGTGCAACTCCGAAGTCTCAGTGTGAAACATGCAGCAATCGACTGCTTAAAAGCATTCACAATCCGAAGAGACCAGACAAAAGGCTGGGAGCTGAGACAGAAATATGAAGTGACTTGGCCTCTAATCTGCTGTATTCCCTCAGGCAAGGCAGTAATACAACCCAGATCACTTCATTCCCACACCAAAATCTGACCCACCAGACCACACTGTTTTCCCACATTACAATTTATACAAATTAGTGGCTATTTCTTCTTTATTCATGGTTAAAAATGTAATAGCAGGATACAGTAGCAAGGCCCCTAATGCTTCTCATATTCTAATACCTCTGCCTCTGTTCTGCCAGCTTCTCTTCTTCTACCAGTAGCATTTTTCGCCTCTGTTCTTCAGCTTCTCGAAGTAATTCCTGCTTTCGATACCAGGCTTCATCTTCTGCTTTCCGTTCCTGTGCTTTAGCCTCTAATTCATGCGCTAATTGTCTAAATGGAAGGAGACCACATGTTAACAATTCAAGCCAAGCATCAAGAAATTACTTGATTACTTAGAAATCGATGACAAAGAATGACTGAAATGAGATGTCATGAAAGAGTATGGCATCCCTCATAGGTACTGATAAAGTACATAAGGAAGAGTTACAATACTGGCTGTTACAGACAACAAGGTGTTGCAGGTGAGTGCCGATATTTTCTTCCTCACATTCTTAACAAAAAATAGTCTCTAAAGGTGCCATGGCATCATGGTACCCACTGACTTCAACAGCAAGCTAAGAACTCTTCACAAAGTTGGACACTACAAAAGCCAGTAGAGCTTTAGGCTCTGACTTACAAGCTTTCAAGTTTGAAGACTTGCAGCCCAATGTTTTCTGTGAATTAACAAATATTTTTTAAGATAAGACTACCAATCTAACTTAAAAATGCATCAAACCAAGTAAATCTTAACCTTTAGCAGCTATTTAAAGTCATTGTCCTGAATTTTTTTAACTCTTTCTTCTCAAGCACACATTACAACAGAAAAAGGCAATTGTGTCCACCTGTCCCCCCAGTCTGATATTGTCTTCAACTTTCCCATTAATACCTCTCTCGTAAGTATTCAATTTCATCCTGTCTGATCCTCTCCAGTTCCCGAGTTTGATAATCCACAATGAACTCGGGATATTTATTAAATACAGGGTACTGTCCTTTTGTAAGTGGTATGAAGTCATCAAGCATACGCTGTGGATGGATATCTAGTGGTGTAGCCTCCATAAGATGATAAGCTTCCTTAATCACAACGTTAATGTCCAGGTTGTTACGATGATGAAAGAAATACTGCAAGAGACATTCTACATTTACATTCTACAAAAGATTAAGCAAGTTTTGTAATATGCCTATTTGGGAATAATTAGGTAAATTAGCAAGATCTATATTCCAAAAGTTGATTTAAAGAGGGATTATTAAGTTAGCCCTACCAATTAGTAAAATATCACTGGGTCAAATGACTTGAAGCAAACCTCTTCAAGTTGTAAGAGTATGCTCTGGTTCTTTTCCTTCTCTTCAAATGGCAGTTGCGTAAGGGATCTGGAAAGCTAAGTGTGAATTTAGAGTGTCCAAATGCCTGCACGAACACTCCTACCACTGGATAAACCTTCCTCCGCTTCTGGTGTTCAAACATGAAGCTTGGAAGTTCCTCTTCTTGAGGGACTATTCTTCCTGTCAAAGATCTTATTCACCAAGAAAATCTTTAAATTGGTTATTATTAAACATAGCAATAATGTTGTCTGTTTGATGTCTGTCAAACTGACTGCTCACAAGCACATTTTCAAGGTGGAACCCTTTGTTTGCCTACAGATGTTTTCATATGAAAAAACCTCCTCCCCGCATGTAAGGCTAAACATAAAGAAACATTTTCATTTAGCTTCACAGAACATCAAATAATACTGCCTAATTTTGCAAATCGGAAAGCAAAATAATGAAACAACATGACAGAATGACTGTGTCTTGTCTCCACAGGCACAAGTTCATATTAGATCCCCAAAAAAGAGGCAGAATTATTTTGTGGTTGATGAACTATGACATTTACAAAATGGCTTTTAGTGGCATTAGAAAGCTAATGAAAGCTTTTAAAGATCTCATAGCATGAAACTGCAGGAAAATGCTCAGTATTTTGCTCATTTATTGTATATTTGTCAGGTACTAGATGTCATTGTTCAGAAATAAGTAATAATATATTAATGTGGAAATGAAACATCTCCTTCTAACCTCTGTAACAACAGATAAATGTTTTATACGTCTGTGCAGGCACACTTTCACATGACTGACTTAAATATGAAGATGTTTACCTCAAAATCCCGTGTTTGATTACAGTGAAGCAAGGGAGCTCTGGAACATATAATATAGGCAACAACAATCATTAGAAAGTACGAAGGATGGTTGGAGAAGATATTGTCAAAGACTTTCAGCCATTCTTCTCTTGTTAGAACCTCAGAGAACAGTGTTTCTAGAAGAGGCCAAGCATACACCTACATTATTTGGGAAAATTGACAAAATAATCCATTAGTGCCATTTTACCATTCCTTTTAAATAAATAATATCAATTTTTCTTGCCTTATACTGAGAATCTATTGGTTTGTGAAAGAAACAGGAACTTAACCAGAATATTTGAAGATAAAAATTATCATCAACTATAAACATTCAAAATTAATATGGGGTGATTATAAATAAACTTCTTATTTCACTGGATGTCTAGATCTTCTGTTTAGATCTGTGAAGCTAAATTCATCCCTAATGATAAATAGGGATTACAAAATTAATTCCCCACACCCACGTCCGCTTTAAAAAAAAAAAAACCAACTACATTTATGATTTGATAAGTAGATTTTCAAGCAACGTAGACTTGAAAGCAAAGGACTGCTAAGAACTACAGTAGCATGTACATGAGATTTATGATCATGGAAAAGGAAAAATTGCAGGAAAGCAACGATACATTCTTTACACTCTCATATCACTCACTGTTATTTAATGAAAACTCCCTCAAAAAAGAATTACTTCCAAACAAAAGACTAGCGCACTATCATTCACTGCAGTGACACTTTATATACAAAAGCTGGCTAGAATATTACCTGTGAAGTCACATTGCATTTTATTAAATGCTGAAGTAGTTCTTTGTCATGATGTGCCAAAACATTCTCCATCATACTAAGGACATTAACTGGAGGATTGGGAAAATACTCAAACCAGTGTTGACAAAAATTAACTGAAAGAGAAAAAAAAAAAGGCCAACACAATCCACTGTAATCCAGAGTGATAGACTCTTTTCAGCCTTAAGGTTTGGTTATAAAGAGTATAAATTTAAGAGGTAGTTTTAGGCAGCAAAACCTATTTAAGATATTCCCATCTCTCCTCTTTCCTAGCATTTATTCCTAATCCATTCCCACACTTCACTGCTCCTGCAGCTGTACTGGCATTAAGTGTTTGTGTCAGTACACTGTGAACCAGACTGGGGAACTAATCTGGCTCAAAAATAAAATGAAAAAAAGTCCGTGTGCTGTGGTTGCAGGCAGATGGGAATACTTAAACCGGTATTTCTGTCTCATGAAACTACAGCCTGGATCAAGTAATTTTTAACATACTAAGAATAATTTCCGTAAACTTGGATACTTATTCACTAACAGCATGTGTTTGTAAAGTGGGTATGTATGCTTGGCAGCACATATCTTCTGTAGACTTAGCAGCAGCTGCAACAACTAATTTAAGTGTAAAGCACTTTAATTTAGAACGTTTCTTCAGAAGACAGCCGTAGCCAGCTTTCAGCCAAATGTCTCATTTTGAGTTACCACATGCTTAGGACAACTAAACATGGTCAAACTTTAAAAGAGATCATTCCCTTTTGACTGGGAGTGGGCGAAGGGGTGGGGGTGCGTGACTACTTTTCCCAGGTCTCTCAGATTTTAGTTATGATATAATTATGCTAGATAGATTTGTTTTAGTGATTAGACGTTACAAATACTGTTAAACTGCTAACTTTTTGCTAGAAACACTGCAAAAGGAAGTCTAATGTCTTGGTTTTATTTAAAAGCAGGTTTTTGTTTTAAGCACACAGTCGCTACATGTTAATTCCTGGCAACACCTTTAAAAGGGAGCCTGGTGACCTCTTAGGAAATACCTCATTCATTTCATCAGGAAAAGCTCTTTTGCATGGGAAAGCTTAAACATGTTGCAGCACATTTGAGTCTTTAAAATCATTGCTTACCTACTACTGTAGCAACAACTTCAAAGCAGATCAGCTGGTTGTTCTGGAATAATTTTACAAATGGGAATGCTAGCAAAGGAATATAAGGCGTCTCAGCAAAGATAGCAGACCAGTGAGCTAGAGCTGATAAGGTCCTATACACAAAGGCAAACAAAGGTGTAGAAAACATCGATCCAAAACCAAACAAAAATTTGCACTACAGAACCACAACATAGAAAGACTGTAAACTTCAAGATAGATGCAGGATTACACGAGTTATAAAACCAAAATTACATGAGGGTACTACTATTTCATTCTAGAATTTTCCATACAGCTGATTCCATCTATTAGATACATTTCAGATCACTATATGAAAATAAAAATTATAATATTTAAATAAATATAAATATATATTTTACCTCTGTAAAACTCTCAGCAGTTTCCTACTTTTGATGGGATACTCATTTTGAATATTCACAAATGCACTGTGGGTACCCTTATCTATGAGGCTACTGAATGCTAAGTGGTTTTCAGGAAGCTGTAATAAGGAACGCCAAACAAACATCCTGCAATTAAAATGCAGACTTAGTCAAGCAACTTCTTCATAGGCCAGTAAACACAAGCAATTTTATTTTGTGCAAGCATGAACATGCACACAAACATACCTGTACTTTGCTGGATATTCTCCAAATCCTTTCAATAAGGCCCGCAGACGTTTCTTGTTTAATCCACCTGGCAATTCGTTCTACAAGATAGGGGATCAACAATAAATGTAAGGATTCGCCCTTCATAATCTCTTTCCTTGCACTCTAATTGATGATAGTAGCTAAATACTGAAGTTCCTAACATAATATTTAAAAAAATAAATATGTGTACTGCTATCTGTAACATAATCCTAGGTATTTCAGCAACAAAAAAGATAATTCAAAAGATCATTCATCTACTGAACTCAAAGAACAGCTGCCATTGATTTCAGTCAGAAGCAAATCAGACCCTAACTGACTAAACTATATATAATTAAATGATGGATATAGCCAAACCATAAAGAATATCGACATAAAGAATAGATCATATTGTAATGAATGTTACAGGAGGATATAGATATAAATCTGTGTATATATATGTGTGTGCGTATATATGAGAATATATATACGCATATGAGATGCAAGATAAAGACACAGAGAGAAGATGGCACAAAGATGACAGAAGGGAAATAAATGTAACAGTAATGCATCTTCTAAATAATTAATAAAAAATTAAATGGCTTCTAGGCAGACATTTTAGAGGTGCCAGTTTCCTAGCAGGGAAGCAGATCAGAGCTAGCAAATATCCAAATGTGTCACAGCTTGCTTTAACAACTTCAGAGGTACCCCAAGCTGACTTGGAGGCAGCTCTGGCTGTGTCACGTAATAGTGGAGTACGGGCTAAACAGAGAGAGGAAATGGCATTAGAACTCCCTCAATCCCCTCTCTGCTCAAACATCCAAGTGAATCGGTGCCTGAACTTGTTCTTTAAAGTAAGCAGATAAATATTTTTTTGCAATGAAATTTAAATGCTGCAGACTGGAGAACAAAATATTTGCAACTTCTTCCTACCTCTTTATTTTCAAGTGATGTGTTCGCTTGCAGATTGAGCAATCTGGTTTGAATTATGCTTCCTTTAGATTTCAAAGGCTGCTCTGACCTTCCTGAAGTCACTCTTGTCAGTTTATTTGCTTTTGATGTGCACTTGGCCCAATCTTCTACTACTTTGAACATGGGTGGTGGAGGCTAATATTAAGTGAAAATACCGCAGTTAACATCTTGTAAAACAGATTAAATAACACTGTAATTTGACGTTTACTCTATTTTGTGCCATATTTTTGAGCTTGATGGCCATAGCAAGAATAGAGCCACATTTATACCATAAATAAATATATATGGACTGTATACTCCTGATTAAGTATGCCAGTGAATAAAACTGCTGTAATAAACTAGAAAGACTGTGAGAAGGTTTATGTAGCTTCCAAACCAACTCAAACGTCATGTTATTTCCTTGTTTAGCAAATATTAAAATATAATTGGGACAGTATAAATGTGTATCATGTACTGTTCAGGTTATTTACTTTAGCGTGTTTCTCAATGTCACTAAAATATTTTGCATTTCTATAGCACCAGTTGAAAAGAATACAAAAGACCTTTACAAACTTTAATTAGTCTTCAGTGTCAGGGAGGTATTAATTCAGTGTTGGAGATTGGGAAAGCAAGTAACAAAGTGGATATCCCAGTTCATGTCAAACCGGCAGCAAAAGTGCAAATGGAATGCACGCATGACATCTTTACACATCCTTCCTCAGCTCCGACTCCATCATTAGCCGAAGCTGGTTGCTGTTTACTTCAAAGACATGGTGATTAAAGATATATGGAATTCTGGATTTAGAAACCTGACTCTCATTAATAAATTACTTTAATAAAATAAGAACTGGTATTTAGAATGTTTGTTATTTAGGAAGGATTAGGAGTATGATTGTGCCACAATGATGGATGCTGGTATACATTAGCACAGCAAGAAGAACAAAATCACCGTAACAAAAGCACCATTCATGCCTGCAGTTTAAGACAGCACCGCTTGCAAAACTGTATTTCCTTTAGGAAATGGAACAGAAGCAGCACAATTACGCTGTTTCCATCTCCCCCAAAACGTCCTTACGAAGAGAAATTGTTCTATTGCTGTAGAAAGAAATATCTCCCTCTCCTCCCAACATCAGAAGCACAGTGATATATATATATATATACACACTTTAAAACCATCGTATTACCTGGCAGGCTGGAGTAACTATGAAGGGAACTCTACAAACCACTTTTTCTTTATTTGTGCTGTTAAATATGGCACTCCAACACGTGTCTGCAAACTACTGCTGATACAAAAGTTATGTGGACAAGGATCAACTTCCATGGGATTTATTGTTGTTTTAAGAAATGTAACACACTCTACCTTATTTCCTTCTTGAGTCAAAGCTTGGACACTATATAAATTAAGGCTACCATTTTCCATTACTGATGCAATATACCGTCCATTGGGGCTAGCTGTTGCTGTACTAATTCCTTCTTCATGGCTTCCAATGACAAAAAGAAGTTTGCATGTTCCTATATGGATAAATCTCATAATATTATCTTGACTTAACACTCCAAGGACCTATAAGTTAAAAGGATTCAACAATTAATATTGTCTATGTAAACCAAAGAGGAATACCCAATTCAGCAATGACATTCCCTTAAGCTAAAAGAGCAACTGAGCAAACACTTAGCACAGTAACTTTCCTTTTGTATGGTATGGGCCCGTATCCCCAGTGTCCCCCAAAAGCCCTCAAAGTATGCGTTGAATCAACTAACCAAATATTCCAGCCTTAAGCTTAGTAAAAAACCTGACCTGATTGGAGCCGCCATCAAAACTGTCAGGGAGGAATTCCAGGTGACGGACAGCTCGTACTTCTGCAGGCATCTGGATTATTCGTATCAACTGCTTTGATTCTAAACACCATAAGTGAAGATGATTTGATTTTCCACCAGCTACAAAAATCCGTCCATCTCTGGATCACAGATGAGGCAAAGTTTCCATCAGAATACTATCATTTAAGTTAGTATTAGCTAATTTAATTAGCTACTAGTACATTTCCTTCTATGCCCTCACATCACTTTTGAGTCTGTCATTACTCCTGTTGTACTCTCCTGAAAGAACAAGATAGCTCCCAAATAATAAAATTTGCTTTTTTAAAGGACACTTTAAACCTCATTTTAGTGGTCATTAAAAATCAACTTAATTTATTTCAACTGCTATGGGACTGTAATGAAAACTGCTATTGGTGCTTGCTGAAAGTATCAGTGACAGCAGAGTTCAAAAGCTTATCATAGTCTATCGCTCAATACTTCCATAAAACATTACAAATAAGGAAAGAAAACCTGTTTGAAAACAACAATTTTTGTAGTCCACCTTTAGAATGTTTAAAATAGCAATTTACCTGGTAACTGCAAAGACCTTATAAAGTAATACAGAACCTTCTACAGGAGTTGGCAACTGGTATTTACAGTGAAGAGTATCAAATTCCCATGCAAAAACAGAATTATCTTTGAAACAGCTGAGGATGGTGTTACTCAATGGAAGGAAAAAAACCTGGAAGAATATGGAAAAGAAAAAAATGGACTATGTTGTCAAGGAAGTACCCTTTAAATTGGACCAAGGTACATGGCAGAATGAAATACAGCAAGAAACCACGACAGTATGGCTACTACTGTAACTGTGTGATGCAGCTGCAATGCAAGGCAGCGGCCTCCCCTTCTCCTGCTACAGCCCAGGCAGGCCCACTCTCCCTTGCACTGGTTCAAAACTTGTTGTGCCCTTTGCTACGCCAGTTTAACTCAACAAAATCTTTATGTTATTTTTATGACTGTTAAACCATCTTGTGGAGGTTTCTGATGAGTGCCAGAGAGGACGCAATACAAATGGTGGGAACAAGAACGCAGGAGCAGGAGAGGACGGAAGACATGAGCTAGAACTGGTCACTCAGCAACTGTTTGTTGCATCTTCCACAAACTGGCTTCAGCAAATAGCACCAAGAGCCTGAAAATGCACTCTATGAAGCATTCACCTTTAAACTCCTTAGTTTTACATACAACTACTAAAACTAAAAAATATTACAGAGTTTAGCACTGTGTTCTCTAACTATGAAGTGCAGATTTTTACTGTGAAGATGAATGAAGATAAAACCAAAATTCTTGTAAATATATTTTTTCAGTTATTCTGAACATGTTTATTGTTTATGTGTAATCTCAATAAGAAAAAAATTGGAATATTTACATTTTTGGATGTCAAATTCCTGCTTAATGACAAATTATTGTTTAGATCAGAGGTTCTATTTTGGTAGCAGCACATGCAGCTCCAGCAAATTCCCTGTACCTACGATTTTGAAGGCTAAATTTAAAATGTCTTCTGGTATCTGAACACTGAGGGACTACCTGAAGAATTCACTGGCTGAGATTTACAGTCAGTGCTACAAAGTTCAGAGTTTTGGTCTGAATGGTCTCTTGGGGCCTTGAAAATCTGTACATTTGGATACATTGGATGGGATTCATCTTCCTGAATGTGACAAAGTTGGATGTTCAGGCCAAATTAATCACTTGACAGTGAGCAGAAGTTACCTGTCGGGAAAGCGTCACCTCACCTACCAGTCATTTATCATACGACAGACTGAGCTGTCTTCCTCCTCCAGGGACCATGAGGAAGTTTAGACAATGAATTGAGAGCAGATGCCTACCATGCAGATAGGTGAAGTTTACATTTTGGTAAACTGGAGTACTGAACAGTTCCTCATTTTCTGCTTTGCCCTAGAAAAATACTACAAGATCGTCACAAGCAGCTGCTGAATACGCAGTGATGCTTTGAAAATGGTCATTATAGATGCCTTCTCTCAGCTCTTCTTTCTCATTTTTTTTTCCACCTGCTATTCTTACAGTGTGCAGCTCAGTCCCTGCCTTTTCAAATTAGCTTTGCCCCATACCAACTTAACAGAAGGTGTATGTTGGAGTGCAACTGGGCTTAAGTAAAGAGGCACCAAAAAGTACACTGCAGAGTGTGGTATGACACTACTATGATGGCTCAGACAGCAAGCAAGAATCCAACTTGGACAATGAGTGTCAGGGCTGCAGTCTAATAATAAATATGATCTTTAATAAAGCATTTATGGGTCTTAAATTGTGGCATGGCAATAAGTATCATTCTCTCTAAAGACAGGAAAATGAAATCCAGATAAATTGGATTATTTGCAGTGTCCTATCAGAAATGGTAGTGCCAAACCAAAAGTGCAGGTTCTTCATTCCCAAACAGTGATTTAGTCATTCAACCGTAGTTACTATTGTTTGGATTTAAAGGTCGTTTCCATGCTGTAACATCCTGATCCTACCAAATTCTAAGAGCCGTTTATCAATAAGAAGCCGCTACATGTGGCCTACACAAAGAAAGATACTGAGCAATAGAAAAATCTTGTCCACTAAAGAAATGCAGCCACCTTTGGAAGGAAGGCATAATTAGTTCAGCAACATACACTACACAACAATTTTATTAAAACAAACAAACAAAAATTTATGCATTATCTTCCACAGCAATTGCTAGGTGACTATTTCAGGCTGACAAAATTTCTGCCTGACCTAGAACACGGTGAAGAGACACAAATGAATGGCCTTGTTCTCTGCAAAATCAGCATGGCTTTTGAGTGACCAGCCTGATGAGAACTTTGGTTTGAAGTGGTGTTTGTAGGATTGCTCACTGCAGGGCAGCATGTGTGTATAAGCAACGCGCAGGCACTGCGTCAGTACTTTCTGTAGTACTCATGCCAAAGTTTGACATTTGGTGGCGCAGGCAGACCTGTTTAAAGCAGTGTAATGCTACGGAAGATGACTCCCTGACACAAACACGTCATCCTTCTCATCCCCTGTTCTTCCAGCGTGCCTGTGCAGTAAACTGAACCCAAGGAAACCACTAGGGTGAAAAGCAGCAATGTCTTTTTGCTGAGTTACTTTTCAGCTTTGTTTGTTCCCATGTTCAGTGCTTAGCGCGCATAGGAAGAAGAGCAACTTTGGAATAAGTAGCTGAATGCGGTAGGTGGTGGTGACTGTATGACACCACAACTGTTTTTTTAACCACACCCTTAAATCCCAGTATCATTCAGGTTAGAATAAATCTCCGAAGGTCCTCTGAGCCCACCCCCAGGTGAGCAGGGTCACTCTAGAAGATGGCCCCAACTTCCACATTAAATCGGGTTAGTCAAGGTCATAGCCAACCCAGTTTTGAGCATCTCTGAAGATGGAGGTTCCTTAGAAGTTCCCAACAGATCTCTACAACTACTGAGTCATGATTCCAGTGGTATGGATGATGTGATAGGATGACAGTTAAGAAGATATGCCCAAAGAACATAGAAGAGATTCAGCTGTATGCTTGTTCACCCTTTACCAATTGTTCTTTACTTACCTTCTGTATACCCACAGACTGACGAACATTCAGCTTTCTTTTTCTTTGAAAGGTGTCCAAGTCCCACAGTTGTGCTGTGTCAGCAGATGTAGTGATGGCATACCTGCCTGAGCCATGGACAGAGATGGAAGACACCGAAGAATCGTGTCCCCTCATCCAACTAACCAGCTCCTTGGTTTCTGCAGGAGTTGATGAAAAACAATGAAAAGGACATGAAAGTAATTCAAAGTGAAACAGCTACTACTTTACTCTTTATTGCCAACGCTATGCTGTGAAAGAGACTTTTAAGCATATCCAGTGTATGACCATTGACCATCAGAGCCCAACAAACAAGAAACAAAGGTATCGGTCTTCCTATAGTTATTATACCTTAGAGAAACATAACCATCTCCTCATCTCCAAGTAACAGATTTCATAAATTGTTCTCAGTTCTACACAGAAAGCCAACTTGCAAAGACTTGTTTAATTTAGACTAAGAATCAATCTTAAAAAGTCACGAACACTGTGATCAGCTAAGTTCAGCATGCCTCCTAGGCAGATTATCCAATGTAAACACCCACAGTAATCTCTAGAAGTTGAGACCGAATGTTCTTAGTTAGAATTCTCCACTTGTTTTTACTTGCATGGATGATTACACAGCTATTTACAGGTGCAAGGAAGAAAGGTTTAATGACAATAGGCTATGACTATAGAAAGGCACTGTCAGAAAGCAACACCTCATTAATTCTTTCAGAGTCCAAAACATTTTTATGCTGTGCATTGCATAATATGGAAATGACTGCTCTGACTACATTGTCTCCCACTTGTGATTGCATGACCACTAATCTTCCCCCAGCAACCAAACTGTATTCGTGGGTAGTTTGGTTGGGTAGTTTATGTTGGGTAGTTTGCCTGACAGCCCACAGGGTGGTTCCAGCTGACCTACTGCTCTGGCATCAAAGATGGGAAACGGCTATAAAGCAGCTCATGCAGCCTAACACTCAAACCTTCTGCTGTGCTTACAGACAATTCAGTGCTTAAAGCTACTGTCACATGGGAAGATGACATGGGATTACATAGTATGGCTTCCAAAGCAGGGGATGGAGCCCACCAACTAAGTATTATCTAACACACCTCTAAGGATAGGTTACCCGATACCGACTTATGTGAATAACTTTCATATTTTAAGACATTCTTTAGTACTACTTGGTATCCAGAAACAGCACCATATAAACATGCAGGACTCTGGAATAATTAAGAACTGCATCCAAAATCTAAGTTTGGTCTTACTGTGGTTGAAAGGAGGAGAAAAAGCAGAGGATTTCAGACCTTAACTATGACTATTCCTCTGTTTTGGGAAACAGCGTGTTACATTAAAACCTTCACTAATAATATCAGACCCTCAAATTGCAAGTGAGTGATTCCTATGGCTTTTGAAAAAGATTTAAATCCAGATGATGAGAGACACTACCACTGCACTTTTTGACAGGTTAAGATTAACTTATGAAGAATGAATTGTCAATGCCTTTCACCATTTAACTTCTAATCAAGACAGAGACACACAGCTGTCCTGCGAGGTTAATTTTAGGTATCGCTTTTGAATAAGGATACAGATCTACTTGCTACAGATCTACTTGCATGCTCACAAGTACTGACAGTTCTTTTAGTGTATATTGTCACTTTGTTCAACTATTTTACTGTAAATATACTTAACAACTGGTGCAGTTGAAACTAACATACTGTCAACTGATTTTAGTTCGATTTTACATACAGCACATCATTCTAAGCAAACATACAGAATCGCTTTAAAAAAGGTATCATATATAATTGCGGTCCTATGCTAGAATTCAGTTGAACAGATGCCTGCATGACTCAGTGGGAACAAGAAATGTTGACAAAGCAAAGGGTTCGTTTACCCACAGGACTATAACCCCATGGGCCCAAACTGTAGGGGTTTTTTTTGGAAGAACAGATGGCATGAAATACATAAGATTTCCATCAAGAAAACTTACAAAAAAATTCAGATTGAAACTGGAATGATACAGTTTTTTAGAACAATCCAGAAAGTAAGCTTTTAGATTTCTCCTTACCTGTATCAAAGCACTTAATGGAATAATCTGCCAAAGCCACCAGGAATTCTGTCTTTCTGCGAAGATTAAACGCCAAAGCAGTGCAAGCCTGCATTGTCCGCTGAACCAGGTTGAACCTATTTAAAAATATATGTTCTCATTATGTCAGGAAACTTTGGTTCATAATGTCACATGAATAACTTAATAAATTTCAATATATTTCACTGAGAGAAAAAAATAACTCAAAAGAGAGCAAAAAACCCATATCTAATTATGATAAATATAAAAATATTAAAACTCAGTAGTGTAAAATTGAAAAGACTGATTAATATATTTCTGCAAATGACACTACAATACGAAGTCTAACTTATTGTAATTCACGGCTTATATTATTAATTGATCGGTACTGTTCAAAGAATAACTTCTTGTGGTAGAATTTAATTGCTTAAGTTCCATGAAATTGCTGTTTGTTCAGTTTAGAGTTACAAACTACTGATCTTTTGCAGCAGCTAAACTAATAAAATAATATTTATGGAGCCTACAAGGGCTTGCAGTTTCAGCTCAGAGAAAACCACTATTTCCACATTCATGGAAAACTGAGGGTTAAAACCAGACTTGAGGCAAGCTGTCCAGGCAAGTTCCATACCTCTGAATGTTACAGATGTTAAGACAATTAAAACATCTTGATAGAAATACTCTTACCTGTTTCCATTCAAGTCAAAAACATATATATTCCCTTGGTGGTCTCCAGCAAGTAGAGAATCTCCAGAACTGTCAAAAGCCACATTCAGAAAACGTATCGTCTTTGAATGGTATCCTTTGATACTATGAATTATGTTTACTATAACTCTGTGAAGAAAGCAAGCAAAACAACTGTACTTAGAACTGTTTTATTATCACATATTTCTCCAAGACCTAGGATTAAAACATTCCTAGCTTATGGTTTTACAGTTCTAGTCATTCACAGTGTTTTATGAAAAATCGTCTTCCATGAAAAATAGGTATTTCTAGTACAAAAAATATACTAGACAAAGGAAGTAATTCGCTATGTTGGAAGGTAGTTAAGAGACACGTAAAGCAGATGGGGGAAATCTACTGTTCATGATCCTTTTAAGTGGCTCCTAGTTACCTGATTTTCAATTATATTATTAATGAATAACACTAACATACACGCTGACGTATCATCTACCAATGTATCTGAAAGCCCAATTCAGCACTCAGCACAGAAACTGGCTTTTCATTATCACTGTGAAGAAACACGCTAGAAAACTGAGAAGCTATGAATTACTGTAAGAAACCACTCGGATTGGATTGGGGTGGGGGGAAAAAGTTTTAATACCACTTCTTTCCAGAGTCTTCAAAAGCACAAAGCAAGCCATTTTCGCCATTATTCATCTGAGATATTACGGAACAAAACTTCCCGTGTTTTCACATTCTATACTTGTACCCTGCTGTTGGCATAAAATGGAGCCAGATGCAGAACTGAAGCCTGTGTGCACACTGAGCCATAAGAGGAAGGTTTTTCCAGGAAGCAGGAAATTAAGATTTGGGAGATCTGCTACTCCTGGATTTTTTGGCTAACACGGGGCAAACCAATTATTTTGTATGATCGCTCAAACTAAATATCTAAAACTGTACAGGATATTGGGAGGCTGCTTAAAGACTGCAGGGCACTTGCAGAAGACCCTGACCGTGAGTATATATGATGCCGATAGCTATCTGAGACACCAATTTCTAAGACAGAATATGCAGCCCAGTACCTGCATGCAACTGTTGGCATACAGTACAAAGTGTGAGTGAATATCAGAAGAAGGGCAGTGCAGCCACGGTACAGACTAGAGACAAAACTAATTGCACCTCATTCTGTTAAGCCCATTCTTTTGTGCAATAGGAGGGAAGGGCCATAAAAAAATCAAATTAGAAAGACGTTAAGCTAATTCAAATTATAAGTAAAATTTAGTGATGTTAGCGTCTTTAATGTCATTAAAAAACCCCACAAGCAAAGTATGACTCCTGATTCTAAAAACACCTTGAAATGTGAGTTCTTATCAGCATAGTTACAGCATCTCCCAGGACTTGCTCAACACCACTCTCTGCCTTTCAAATGTTCCTTTTGCCACTAAAGTAACCTAGGAGAATAAAGTTAGGAGTTGACAGAGCTGTGCCCACATTCCCCATGTCAGACAGCACACCGCTGCTCCAAAGCCACACTCGTACTGCCGCTCCTCAGCTCGGGCATGACAGTATTTTCCTAGCATTTCACATTTTAATTAAACTCTCGTGGGAATTCGCCTATGGTATTCTGTTCCATAGAATGAGAATCAAAAAAGCTAAACCAGAGAGTTGTCCAGGCCCTTGCCCAGCCAAGTTGCGAGGCTCTCTGAGCACGGAGGTTTCACAGCCTCCCTGGGGACCTGCTCCGCCTTCAACGGGAACGTTTCTCCCCGTTACCTAACCGGGCGTCCCCGGGCTGGACCTCCCGCCTGCAGAAGCCCCGGTGGGCTCCGGCCGGCCCTG